CAACTTCACACGATAATTTCAATAGCAACCACGTGCGTACAATTGACAAACTCACATAGGTTATGTTTACTACTTAAGAACAGCTGATGAGAGGGGTGTTATGTAAACAAACATGTGTACCAACTGTTGGTGATGAAATATTTCATTTGTTGAAAACTCAATATACATATATATAATATAATGATACTATATCTTGAAAACAAGAGCTAATATATAATTTTTATGGTCACTTTCGGTTTTAACACGTGGAAATACATTAAAATCATCTAATTTCAACCCCGAAACAAAAACTTTGTTGTGTTGTGTTTCAATTAGAGGAATCTCATTCATGGTAAAACATTATATTGTCTGTCAAAATTAAATTGTGATTAGCACCGTGGTGGGTTTGAAATCATTTTTGTTTATTATAAATGTATTTTTTTTTTTTAGAAAAACCTTGGGAATAATTATGACAGCTTCATGTCATAATTTTATATCTAGAATAAAATAACTTTTGAGTTAAATATTTGCTTATTCTAAAAAACTATTGATGATATATAGGTATATTCAATTGTCATCATTTATTAAGTATTTTAAAAACTTATGTTTTTGATATATTGAATTGGAACCTCTGGAACCAAATGAAAACACTTTTCCCACACCAGAACAAAAGCACTGTCTCTCTTTGACAATCAGTCATCTCCTGATGATGCTACTTTGGTTAGCAAAATTCGGGTCGGGAAACAGCTTTTTTTTCTGGTGTGGGAAGTGTCCTCATTAGAATCTAATTATTTACATGGAATTTTAGTTTTTTTCATCCTTGATGTGAACCAATAGAAAAACTATTGAAAATAGTTGAGTATTTTCAAATATCATTCGTAATAAAGGTTCATGTTGTTTCTTATTTCCATCTATGCAAGATGCGAGTGTCTAATGTAGATGAAACTGATTTTTGTAATAGTTGATTATCCTAATGAAGAAAGAAAGGTTTTGTGCAGTGTTGTAAAAATTACTTTGTGCCTTAAAATCAACGTGTGTGTTTCACATTCCCTACTTATTGAAAAACTAAGTTATTGTGGCATAAGGGGCACTACTCTGGAACTCCTTCATTCATATCTTACAAACAGATTTCAGTGTGTTGAGCTAAACAATGTAAAATCTGATTTTTAAAAAATTGAGCATGGCGTCCCTCAAGGTTCAATCTTGGGACCTTTCTTATTTATTGTGTATATAAATGACTTATGCCACGCCATGGCACCTACTAAATGTTTTCTATTCGCTGACGACACAACAATTATTTGCTCAAGCAAGTCTTACACTAACTTGAAAGACTCCGTCATCACAGTACAAAACTCAGCTAAGCTTTGGTTCACGAAGAATAAACTCAAATTGAATGAAAGAAAAACCCAAAATTTGATTGTCTACACAAATACAAATTATCGCGAGGGGGCAAATGTATTGTTTCTAGGCATTACGATTGATGACAAATTAAGCTGGAGAAATCATCTTGACCTTGCTGTTCGCAAATTATCTTGTGCTCTCTTCTTTCTGAGAAGGTTAAAACATGTAACGAACCCTTATATTATGAGAATATAAGGGTGTGAGGAAGGCAAACAGTCTTCAAACTGGGTTCATGGCTTTTCTGAAGATATTTCTTTTGAAAGTTTTCGAATTTTAGAGTAATTTACGACATTTGATAAATTGTCAACAAATAAATTCAATAACTAAAATACGTTTTTTTTTTCATGTTTAAACTGAATATTTCCAAGAGAAGACTGATATATTACCTGTATTATTTTTTATCCCTGCTGGTTTTTGCATATTTTTAAATTAGTAAAATATTTATCATTTCGAGTTCGAGTTAAATTAGATATATTTTTATTAATAAACATCACTAAGGGATTTTTTAAAAGTGAGTTGGGGTTGTGGAAAAACTAGAATAGTTGAGAAGTTTCTGGAATCTGAATCCTACTGTTAGATACTCTTTGTGGTTATTTGGAAATTCATAACTAACGGGTAAAGTTCAAACCAGTTACTTTCAACTGGAGGATATTTTTGAATCCCAAAGCCCGTAGATTCTAAGATTGATTTCATATATTCTAAAACTTCAGTATTTAGGAGATATTCTCAAAAGCTGAATTCTGAAGTGGTGTATTATCTCATTTTCTTTATCAGTGGAATTTAATGATACAAATGAATTACAAAACACTTATATTGAAAACAACTAGATATTCCATTCACAATGATTTGCCATGTAAAAATATAAACAACAATCAATACATAAGTGGTGGTGATATTTATCATTCACAGGTAGTACCCATATTAAGTTCAGGGAAGGTTGAACCTCCTGATAGTTTGGTTATGTAAGATAAGACACAAAAGGGGAGTTAAACTCCATAGTAGGCACAATTCATTTTTTTTTCACTAATTTTTTCCCTTATACTTAAATATACTCTTAAGTAAGAAATGCCTAATAAAGTACATGAAATATTTTTATAAAGGCCGTTTTTTAGCTGATGTCACTATTGCTATTTTGGAAACTAGAATAATCTATTTTAAGATTGAGAATTCCTTTCTACAAAGCTACAAATTTCCAAGAATCCAGGATCTAGGTCCCTACTCTTTTGTGACATCTTTGACTGGGGAATTATATTTGGAATTCTTGCCTTTGAATATTCTGAGGAATTATCAGTATTTCCAACATGATGGAGCTCCGCCATATCACAGTACTATTTGCAGAGATTTGCTCAATACCAATATGCCAAAACGATGAATAGGAAACAATGGTCCTATTAAATGACCACCACGTTCACCTAACCTGATCCTTATAGACTTTTCATTGCGGGGATTATTTAAAGACAAGGTAATCGGCTCAATTTTTGGCAATATTGACATGCTGGGAAATTGCCATAAAAATACTATTGCAAGAGCGAATGTGTGTTTGAGGAACGAAGAACAGCAATTTGAACATTCACTGAGATATCGTGAACGACGTAGATGGTTAGAAGTATTTTGACATTTTTTTCCTTCTGTTTGTTACTTGGTATATTACATGTTATTCCGATATGTAGAGTTTATGTATACCTTTGAGTTCTGGACTCAAAAAGTATTAGACAATTCTAGTTTTCGGCCAATATTCCAAAAATATCCACTGATCTGAAAAAAGATTATTGTAGTTCCCCGAAATAAGAAACTTTTGTCCAAACGAACCGACCTCGTAGATTTTATCATTTCTGAGATAGCAATAGTGGGATTAGCTAAAAAAAACAGCCTGTATATTATAGAAATATTGGTCTTGATAATGGTGTAAATTCATTAATATTGCAAACATGTCAAACAACAGATTTCAAAGGCTCCAAGAAGGCACTTCAGTAAATATTTCAAGACACAACAGTTTGGTTTCGACCAGAAAACAAGTTCATACAGTAAATAAAATATGTACACTAAATATTTCATAAAAATAACAAAGTATAATAAACAACATAAATTATCAACAGAAAGTTTAGGGAAGCTTTGGCGCTTCAAGTGATTTTGGTTAACGTAAGTATATACTGAAAGCTACTTAACGTAAATTGAGTTAACACAAAGTTCAGTATTTTCAAAGAAATGTGTGCAGTGAATGTACATGGGCTGAAGTCTCGGGCCTAACACATAGATGACGCTGTTGAAATGTCATGATATTCTACTCATAAGTTTGAGTTATTGTGCTAAGAGTGACATTACTTTATAAATGAACTTCGAATTGCTCCTACATCCACCGTATTCGCCAGATTTGTCTTCCATCGACTACTGGCTCATCGCAGACCTTAAAAAAATACTCACTGGTAAGAAATTCCGCTCGAATATAAAGGTTAATGCTGAATCTGAGGCCTATTTTGAGGCAAAAGATAAGTCGTTCAACAAAAGTGGTATCGAAATGTCAGAGTGGCGTTTTGATGATTGTGTGGCTCTTGGTGGAGATTACGTTGATGAATAAAGCCAATTTTTGAACAAAAAAAAGCGTTTTCTTTCTCAAGCCTGGAATTTTTCAGCCCATGTGTTACATTCAGGATACTAAATGATACATACTAAGAAAATTAAATATCTGAAACGGCTCCGACTGAAAGTCAACTGTTCTTAGCTTGTGTGTGACGCATGCTCGTTTCTTTTGCGTTATCTCAGTTACACGTAAAATAGTTTCAAAGGAAATAAGAGCACTAGATAAATTTGCCTGAGACTAGTCGATTGCCTCAATCGATTCAACTATCACAAAAACATAATTAAATATATATAACTGTCAATTATAACTATCTAAGAACTTTTGCGTTCCAAACAATCTGATATACTTTCCATAAAATAAACTATGTTGTATAAATATAAATAACAATACGTAAAGGTATTCTCTCTTTGTAAAGGTAAAAATTGATCATCGATAATGTTAATTGGACTAAGTACGGTGGGCAGGATGGATCTTTTCGATTGGTACGACTGACCTCATGAGTACGCTCCAATGTACTCTGGTTTCCATAGCTGGTTGGAGAAGAAGTTGTTGACTATCGCAATGTCCCTGTCGTGGTCCGGGGTGGCCGTCACCGGAGCTATGGTAACTCCATCGGGTAGGAAGAGGCCGAATGGTATGAGAGGGTTGTCGATCCGACGACGGGATCTTTTGGCCGTCGTCTGCTTGGAGGGGTTCTTTGGTTCTTCTGGAGAGTCGATTTCCATCTTCTCCTCCTTAGGTAACTTGATGTTTAGCTTGATTGGCGACTGAGAGGTTTTGTTATCTGCGTTGGTATCGGTGGATTCTGCTGTTAGAGTACTGTTGTTTTTGTTGACGGCGGTGGGATTGTTGTTGTTATTCTTACTTCTGAAAAAGTGGAAATGTTTAAACGGTGTGATTGTGGTTACACGTAGAAGATAAATGCAATTACGCTGTATATTTTTTCTGATAAAGGAGACAACTGACTCATTTCCTGGAACTTATTAGTCATGGAAAACGGTTTTTCGCCCATTTTACAGAAAGAAAAATTTTTCCATAAGTTGTCGGTTCTACACCAGCATTGAACGAAATAGCTGAATCAATTTTTGAAACATTTCAGAAGCAATTTACTACTGAAAACTTCGGATTTCTCTAAGGCACAAGTACAATCCACAATCCGTTCTGGAACACTGCTCACAAGTGGATCAGTTACCACTGATCAAAATTATCTCCCGATTTTAGATCATCGCAGGCTAGTTGCAGAACTTTTTGTCTTCTACAGATTTTTAACTGGTTCTTCCGGAGATTTCCTCTAACCTTTCACCATCACCTTATCCAAACATTCTTCACGAGCAAGTCGGTCGAAAACTGCACACAGTTGTTTTCTGTGCGATCAGTCGATTGAGGTTTTCTTTTTTCCATCAAAGTTATAGTTCTTCGAAGCTGCTGACTTCCTTGCAATGGAGGGAGCTCCAGGCGGTTATCTAATCAGAACCTGCCATTTGCCATCTCTAGGTTTTGCTAAACAAACACTGAATACCCGAACTACAAGAGTTTTAGACTTCTAGCGAAATACACCAGGATTGGCTCTTCGATGTATGCCACCAAACGATTTTTAGACCACAGTGGGATGACCTACGTTGTCTAACATAACTAGTTTTCGGTGGATCCTTGCCGAAGCTCTGGTCTATCAGATATATTCCTCACAGTCGTAGGGGGCTGTAGAGAATCAATCATTCCTCAGAGCCGTAGGGGACCATGTGGTATGGTCAAGGTGTGGTATGGTCAAGTTGTTAGAAACTCAAGTTTCTAAATGCACAAAATGGAATTTCCATTTACCGTAATTGAGGTACTCTAAAATTCTCCCCATAACTAGTTTCTGGAAACTGTCGTCTAAATCATCATATGAAGAGACTGTCAGAAGACATTTCAATGCCGTCTCCGTTTGGAAGATAAATAAACAGCAGCACAGATACTTACTGAATCAGGTTTTTCGTTTTTGCCAAGAGTTTGACTCTTGCCATCTGACGTGAAATATCATTCATCAACTAGCTTAATCGGCTTCGCTGAGAGGCTGGACTTAATCACTCCCTCAACATAACCTACAATCGCCCGAGGTTCACTACTGAGGTGAATTACATGATATAAAGGTGGAATTTGGTTTTTCTGCGTTCTCCTCCTGAAGGAGAGGTGTGAAGAAACCACAACCAAACCAAAACATATTTCTCACCTGTTATGACTGCTGTAGCTGTTGAGCCCCAAGCTGGAAATGAGCTTCTCCCTCTGGAGCCGTACCCGTTTGGTGGTTATCACAAACGCGCTGACGAACGCTTTTTGGCACACCTCGACCGTTTCCTGGGTTGGCAGCAGGGGCACCAGGTACTTGCAGGTGATGCGTCGCGGCGCCCTTCCCGATCCCGTCGACTCGGGGACGTTAAGACGCGCTCTAAGGTCCATGTGTTGCCGCAGGAACTGGTTCTGCATGTCTGCCTCGCCGAGACCGTAGAAGTGGGTGAAGAGATGATGCCGCGCCTCCATCGGCACGCTGCTATCACATTTGTGGGGGCATTGGCAGAGTTCATCTGTAGGAGAAGACAGATGGTTAATGCGTAAGTCGGAGAAAAGGATAGGATCATTGTCATACAGTCTTCTTTAAAGAATATTATAAAATTTGTTTTTAGTATTCAAATAGTTTATTTGTTTGCGATTCGTCCAATATATTGTTGAAAAGGATCATCGCAGAATTTGTACAGCTAAGGGAACTAAATTCACGCTCAAAAAGGGCTAGTTCTTCAAAGAAACCGGATAAGCGGAGCCTGAGGTGAAGTAAAGTAGGCTTAAGGGGAATTTCAGGTAAAGAAAATTGGGTCAAGATTCTGGAGGAATCCAGTAGAGGCACCTTCAAGCCTAAGATTCGTGGAGAACCTTCGTGGATCATCTATATGGATGTTAGCATGGTCCTAAAAAGAAGGTAGGTCGGCTTGACTTATCTTTGGCACTACTTGGTCAAGTTGTGGATGTCCTATAGAAGATTTCAAGGACTTATCCTCCTTGTTTATCTCCAAACACTTGACCAATTTATGTAACAGTTCAACTGCTCTTGTATGGCATCATCAGAGATTGGAGCTGCCAATATTGCATCATAATCTAGATGCCTAAGTTGGTAAATGTAACATTCAGTGACATTTTCTGTACCTTAGGTTCCATTAGAGAAAATACTAGACTCTTCATCAGCAAAGACGTGTTGATATACGAGTAAATGGAAATGTAGGAATGAAAGGGGACTTTTCATTGATTAAACCTTGTTTTGAAAAAGTAGGACCTTTCATTCTATTTCCGATTAGAAATATAACAACAAAAACAAACATTTGAGGGTAACTTCAAGCTAGTTAAAATAAACTAATTCAATTTGAAATATATTCGAATATGTTGGCCGACAATATGTTCTGGAGCTAGTGCAACTTCGTGAAATAATGTTGCAACTAATAAAAGAGAATATTGAGTGTCCTCCTCAATCATAAGATTTATATTAACTGGATAACTTTGTGGGAATATGAAGAGTAAAATTGATGCTACTTTTGTCTCTAGATGAGTGCTAGTGATTACATATAAAGGTGCTTAAATATTCAACGAAACGTGTGACATATTTCTTGTCTGGAGACATATCATGTTCAAAAGAAAAGTGTTTTTTTTTTTTTACTTTTTGTACGTATTTTCGGTGATGAAAATATTGAATTTTGGTTTGATCTCCCTCTTGAAGATGATCACTTTGTGATTGAAACACTTGTTGAGGTGTTGAAAATAACAGTTTAATGTTGGGTTATATTCATTACTACATCAAAGGTTCCAAACACTGCTTCACAAATAAAAATATTGTTGAAATGTTGCAGTGGAGGATTCACTATTATTACCAAACTGAAAATGTCGGTCTCTGAGTGAAGTACCACAGTAATTATGATAATCACAGATCAAGCCATATGTCCGCCAATTATAAAAACTTGATTAGTGACATGCAAGCACGCAAAACGAACTGATGAAATCACGTTTTAGAGAATTCAAAACTGGCGTATACCTGAATCTATGATCAGATTTTGATTCGATGGAGTCGAAACGTATGCAATAACGTTAAAAGGGTTCATTCAGAAAAATTGAGACCACTTCGAATATTTTCAATTACATAACAATGAGTGGCTAAATCATGGAACGAGTTCGTTATTTTGCAAGTAATGTACTTTTCGTGAAAAAACCTGAAATATTACGTCAGATATTACGTCAGTGGTTTTGGCATAGGGACGACATTGGTAATTTTTTTTAAATTGAAACAGACCTTAACTTACCTAATGAAAGCATATGGTTGCAACATGATGGTGTATTCCCACACTATGCACGTGATGTTCGCGAGTTTCTGAATAACTTTCCTTAGAAAGTGGATTGGTAGGCGCGGAAAGATGGAGTGTCCCCCAAGATCTCCAGAACTCAAGCTACTAGATTTTTTCATGTGGGGTTCTTTGAAATCGTAGGATTGGTAGGCGCGGAACGATAGATTGTCCCCCAAGATCTCCAGAACTCAAGCTACTAGATTTTTTTATGTGGGGTTATTTGAAATCGAAACTGTATGTAGATAGGCCGTAACATTCAGAGGAGTAGAAAAATCGAATCAGGGCCAAAATTAGCAGAATTACCTTGGAAGTTATTTGCAATTTGCAAGAGGGATGTGAAATTTGTAACATTATATTTAATTTTTTATTTTTTTGTAGATATGGGGTCACCCAGATTTTCATATTTTTTGTAAAAAGACAGAGAAGTAGAAGACCTTAACTTTTCTTTCCCAAAAATTATTTTACTATTCTGTGTAAAAAAGAAGTGAAAAAGTGAAATTATAAAAATATATGACGCAAACAAGTTTGTACTTTTTTCATGTTTTTCATCTTCAATGAAAGGTAATTATGTTGTCATGATAAGGGTTTGTTATGATGTTATTAACTGTCATGGTCGAACTGATGGAATAGATTTAATATTCAATAATATTTATTTGTTGTTCCTTATTACATATAACTACAATAATTATTCAACCTATAAAACTAATAAAAAAATATAAATTAGGCTAGAAACAACATGCACCGGAAGTATAAAATCTATGAAATGATTGACTTTCTGAATGAGCAGCGACGAGATATTTTTGACTTAAACAAGGAAAGTTTAGTAACTTCATATTATAGTGGAATATTATTGTACAAACTATATATGTTATAACTGAAGGATCGATATAGAGTGGCCCGATGGGGCGGGGGGAAAATAGCCCTTTAAACCTCAAATTTAAAGTATGTGAATCGCTACGAAATGTTATTTTGTTATNTAGTTTGTATTTTAAACATTCGATATGGAATATAAACAGATATCACTCTTCCACGCATAAAGGCATCAATAGATCTTTGAAACGAATGAAAAAATGTTAGATGATATCTGTAATATTTGTGTTGGAATATTACTTGAAACTGTAGAATTACTTCTCAATCTTTGTTTATTTAAACAATTACTCAGTTATTCAGAAAAGTGACAACTCACGGTCTACTTGACATACAATAATCTTTAACAACATATATAGGATGAAACATTAAATTTCCTCCCTAACTTCAATTATATAACATTCATATAGAAGAATAATTTGCGTGTTTAGCCTTCCTATGTGGTTGTTGTCTTCAACGAAGATTTTTCTGTTGTGGAATGTCGAGTAGCTCTATAATTCATTAAAAATTATTCTAATTCATCTTTTAATATTTCGTCCGGTTATCACTGCACACAAAATTGTCTTCTTGATAGTTCCAATTGTTCTTTCAGCAAGTCCATTCGCTTCAGGCCGTAAAGGGATTACTTTATGATGTTTGAATTTGAAATGGTCAACAAAATCATCAAATTCCAATCACAGTTTTAGAGTCCACTCTTGATATTTCATAACTTCATCAACTACAACCATGATGTATTTACCATTAGGATAGGGTCCAGCAAAATCCATGGTTAACTTTCTCCAAGAACCTGTAGGTTAAGCTGTTACCTGACATGGATCTCTACTTTCAGCGGATGTCTCTGCTTGAGGCATCCGAAATAAAGTCCCGACGGGGACTTTATTTCATTTTCTAGTAGTTTATGCATTCCAGGAAACCAAATTTTGCTTCTGAGGAGTTGTTTCGTCTTTACTATTCCCAAATGACCTTTATGAGCTAGCTGGATAACGTGTTTGCGAAGAGTTATTGGAATGACCAATTTTGTGTTTCTCAGAATTGTACCATTTGCAAAAGTCAACTCATATCTAACTTTTTTTGTATGGTTTTGAGAAACTGGTGTTCCACAAATTCTCTTCAATGTTCTTCAGATCCTCAAATATATGTTGGAATTCTTGTTTTTTTTAAACGTCTGTTCTTCAGTCCGAAACACAAAATTGCAAATGTTCGGTCTAGCATGACGTGGTCTTTGTTTCTTAAAAGGTGTGCAAGCATTGCTAGATTAAAATTGTTTCAATAGCTTCAAATTTGTGAAAATGTCGGACTTAAATCCTTTTCCTTTACAGTAAAAGTTCCTTTTCCTTTACAGTAAAAGTAATATTTACTCTAGTGCTTGATGTATCAGTTTTTATTCAATCAGTTATTTATTGTGAACTGTTCGGTAAATTTCCAGAAAGAATTTTTTGATAGTGTTTTTTATTCACATAAAGAAAAAGTCTCCTGAGAAGATACAGGAACGAATAACCTTAGCTTGAGTATTCAGTAATGTCATAATCCATAAATTTTTTATGATGTTGAAAAAGCAGAACGTACAAATTTCACAACGACAAAATAATAATGAACTCATCCTAAATGAACTGAGAAAATACAAGATTAGATCACATTATTGACAAAAGAAACCTTAGTGCCGTTATCGTTATCGGCCATTTATAATTTTTATAGATAACGTGACACGTTGAACGTAGAACTTCGCCACAAAAGAAATATCATGTGAAATTTATATCCCCGATTATTTCAGATCATAGCTTCACATCTGAAACTGAATATGAGGAAACGTGAGTACAATGGACGAAAAGTTTTAAGACATTGAACCTAAATGAAACTTGAGTAGAAAGGTCAAGGAAATGTTGCTATAAGGACTTGATTCCATCATTGATAAGAGGTATATCGCCAACCTTTAATAGGGGGACTCATGACCGATATGATTCTCGAGATAATATATTATTTTATCCAGTTGACGAATTATTCCTTTGTCACATATTGATGGTTACGTTTTCTCGAAAGATAGGATGAGTATGTTGGATATATCCAAATAATTTGACTGTGCATGACTCCAGAGACTTGTGAAACTTTCTCTCAATGCTTCTCCATCATAAGTATGGCGATTATTGTTCCACTTCATTTCGAACAGGTCTTTGGATGTGGTGGTTGACTAAGTATTCTCTGATCCATTTGGTATCTACGCTGGCGTACCCCAAGGTACAGTACCTGCGCCGTGTTTATGTTTCTCATATGCGACTTGCTTTCGATTCGCAGCTTTGGATATGACTTTTGCTTTGGGAAGCCTGGTTGTAAAAAAGGGG